AATAACTGAAACTGAGACGCTCAGAAAAGGCATGGCACGTGGAACTAGAACAATCTACCCAAGTGGACTAAATGAATGGTTCGATTCGAAATTCCAACGTATATCACCTGAGGAAGGCCGGAGCATACAACGGCCTAAACGTCGTGAATATGACAGCAACGATGAGGACAACAGTCCGAATAATATAAATAATGTAAGTAGTTACAGTACCTCATCTCAGAAATATAGACATACCCTGGCGAAAACGGGTCGTACAGCGGCCGAAACCTCCTGAATATGACAATAAAGATGAGGACACCAGTCCGAATAATGTAAATAGTGTAGTTACAATACCTCATCTCAGAAATATAGACAAATCCTGAAGAAGACTAGAGCGTACAACGAGTGAAACCTCGTGAATATAGAAATAAAGATGAGGACAACAGCCTGAATGATGTAAATAATGTAAATAGTTACAATACCTCTGTGAATTTCTACTGATAATATCTGTTTTATTAGATATATTTGCAGTAACATATTTGGTGGAATGAAATTTATGCCTTTGAAATTCTGTTTATGATATTATATATATATATATATATATATATATATATATATATATATATATATATTAATGAAAAACAGACCACTTTAAGGTACCATTACAATAATTTATTTCACCAAAATCCTTTTTAAAGGACTCCGGATCATCAGGTAACAATATAAAGCATGCTTAAGAGAGATATGAAATTAACCCCTCCCTATACTCTACCTTGTCTCTTTAACTACAACCCTCACACCCCCTGTTAAATTACAAAAATTACACTACCCATCAATTTCTAATCCTATTTTTCCTTTCATTTTGTTGTTGGAGTCCTTTAAAAAGGATTTTGGTGAAATAAATTATTGTAATGGTACCTTAAAGTGGTCTATTTTTCATTAAATATTAGCTCTGTATTCACATTGAGCTCTCAGGATTTCATCCTCCTTGAATTACCCATTCGGTTTACCAAGTTCTTCGTAACTTAACTATATATATATATATATATATATATATATATATATATATATATATATATATATATAATTATGCATGTTTTGTGAATAACGATATTACCTCAAAGGAGAAACAAGAGTTATTGCGTGACCGGAAGACAACAATGAAATTTAGTAAAAATGTTGAAAAGAGATCAAAGACTAACTGAAAAAAAAACCTGAAAATATTAACAACCTAAAATTGAAAGACGTTATTAGTTTTAAGAGTGGTACAAAAAGAACAATTAAAAATGTAAACAAGAAAATGAATTGACCAGCAAGAGCATATTTCAAGATGATATGAATTAATTTCTAAAAAATTAAATTAAAAATAAATTAGAACTGAATTGAAATTAGTAAAGCTCTAATTTTTACATCATAATCACCATCATAGCTGTTTCGTCTTGAAGGCACACAGCAAATTTGTTTTACCGAAACCTCTCTGTCCTGTACTAACTCACGAATATATTGCAGGTCTTCTAAGTTCTTCCAGGCTTTTACGAATGAAGGAATTTTATTGACAGTTCTTTTAATGCCGTTGTTCAGTATGTATACTATGGTTGTTCGCGGTCTTTCATGAAAGTGTGCTGCATCCATATATACATACATTATATCAGACTTCTCTTTGTCATTTAATATTTTCACAATAAAATTGATAATAAAAAGCTAATAACAATAAAATGTTCAATATATATTTATATGATAAATATAAGTAGGCATCTTGTGAGAGAGAGAGAAGATATTGTAAAATTACTGAGTGATCCGAAAATAAGTCCAGAAATCGAGATAAGGTTAAACAAATAATAGAACAATAAATAAATTGAAAACATTTGCAAGATAAAAACAAGAAAATGACTTTAAGGTTGTTGCCAAAATAAAAAAAACGATTTGAGAAAATATCTACAAGAAGAAAACGTAGTGAAAGAAAGCGAGAAGAAAGGACTAAACCTCAATTGCAAGAAGACAGAATGTATAGTTGTCAACAAAAGGGACAGCCCAACATGCAAATTACAAATCGGAGATATCAAAATCGAACAAGTACAACAATTTAAATATCTGGGAAGTGTTGTAATAGACGAAGGAAAGTGCAACACAGAAATCTGAAGGTAGAGTGAGATAGTGAAAGATGTATTCGAAAAGTTAAGCAAAATATAAAGGAGGGGAAAATTTTCATTAGAAACAAAGAAAAAAGTAATGAACTACTATTTAATATCGATTCTACTATATGGCAGTGAATACTCGACAAATTACTCACAGATGAAGAAAAGTCGTTCTACAGAAGGATGCGGAGAATACCATGGACTGAACATGTGAGCAATAACTAAGTTTTAGAGATAATGGAAGCAAAAAGAAGACTTTTATTTAACATCAGAAAAAGACAGTTGAAATTTCAAGGGTTTCTTTAGGGAAATCTCATATCAACACGAAGAACGGTGGAGTAATGGATAACGGATCGGATTGATTCCATTCGAATCCATTACATTCA